GTGGGAAATAAGGAGGACGAGCCAGTCAAATAGTGGTCAAATAGTTTTCTCCCATATTGGCATTAATGTCTCTCAAACAAATATGTCGACTCAAATTACCAAAACATTCACTTAACAATTGTCAGAATCCATATCCCACTCTCACCTACTGTTATCTCCTCTATATGATTTTAGTATAAATAACATAACACATATCACGCACAAAAATATTATCTCTTCATGAATATTATCTCATTGTAAGTCTAGATTGGAAAAAAAGAGATTTTGTTAGCCTATCCTTCAACCTGGCAAATTCGAGTCAATGTTTGTCTTCTATACTGCTGTTTTATGCACTAATATGTTGCTGTACTGTACCTTTGCAAAACTTTAACAAAATATATTATATTGTAACAATCTGTTTCTTGTTATGTATAACTTCTGCTAAGTTATGTTGAGCCATTCATCCACTTATCTTTTAAGTCTCTCTTCACTACTTAAACTTTGTCTTTCGCATCACTTGTAAATCACAAACCATACCCCGGCCGGGACTGAACCCGCGGTCAGAGTCTCAAAACTCCAGACCGTCGCGTTAGCCACTAGAGAGTGGCTAACGCGACGGTCTGGAGTTTTGAGACTTTCTGACCGCGGGTTTAATCCCGGCCGGGGTATGGTTTGTTTGCAATCGTGTCATTACGATTTCGTGAGTCTTGTAAATCACAGTTCTGATACACACATTTCCTGGTATACTCACCAGACAATACACAAACATCTACTGTTCATATTGCTTATTTTTTTTTTTTTACAATTCTAACACTGGTTGGCTGCTGTTGAACTGTATTAGAAGTCCCGAGTGACACAAAAGCTAGACTTGCGAAGAGCGATGTATACTAATGAATAGATGTAATTAAAACTCAGACACTATTATTCTACATCAACATTGCTTCAGTAGTTTCAACAGTACACAAACATCTGACGGTTTTAAACAGAGAATCATACTTCTGTTCACCCGTTAAGGGACTTTTCGAAACAGTGATTGTAATATACGCCTAAATAAAGACATTTTGGACTAACATGTTTACAGTGAGAATAATTTTCTTAAAGGAAAGTTTATGAAATAATGTAAATATTTTAACCAGCATTATTACTTTATTATGTTTAGTGTCAGCACTCAGTTTGAGAGAGAAGGTTGCTTCTGCAGTCTAGGAAGTATATGACTTTGCCCAACACTGTAGATTAAGCTAGTGTTATAACAGTTAGTCTTTGATTGTTTGTATCTCTACACTGTATTGTGTGAAGTCTTAGATGAGATGGTATACACTCACTGTGTAATCTCGATGTAGAGTGCTAGTGAGTTGTACACCCAGATACTTCTGTAAGTCTTAATCTGGCAAAAGCTTTCTTTACTACACCATTTTCTACCAATTCTGCTGACATTCCTGGGTCCAAGGGGATTCCCAGATATTTCACTGAAGACGCTGATGTGATGTGTTCCCCATTACACTGAACATTAAACACTTTTCAGTTTGTTTTTCATTCCAAAGAGTGTGGCTTTCATCTTCCCGAGGTGTAGCGATATAGTTTTGGAGTGATTGTTGCTTTTATTTAATAAATGTTTGGAAGAGGGTGAGGTACCTAGGGACTGGCAGAGATCATGTCTAGTTCCTTTGGGATAAAAGAGAGTGTAAAAATTTTAGGGGAATAAGCTTATTGAGTGTACCTGGTAAAATGTATGGTAGAGTTATTATTGAAAGGATTAATAGTAAGACAGAGAGTAGGATAACAAATGAACAAGGAGGCTTTAGGAAAGGTTGGGGGGGGGGGGAGTTGTAGACCAAGTCTTTACAGTGAAACATATAGGTGAACAGTATTTAGATAAGGGTAAAGAGGATTTTATGGCATTTATGGATTTGGAAAAGGCATAGAGAGGGAGATTATTCCCCAGTAAAAGAAGGCCTTAAATAGGGATGTGCGATGTCACCAACGTTGTCCAGTATATATATAATATATATATATATATATATTATATATATATATATATATATTATATATATATATATATATATATATATATATATATATATATATATAATATATATAAATATATATATATACACACAGATGGTGTTGTAAGATAAGCGAATGCTCGGTTATTGGTAAGAGGTGTGGGATTAAAGCCTTTTGAGGGTCCAAGTATTTAAAAAAAAAAAAAAATATATATATATATATATAAAATATATATATATATATATATATTATATATATATATATATATATAATAATTTTCATATGAAACGGTAGAGAATCATTTTCTGAAAGAAATGAATCAAAAGAACGAAATTTAATTGAAAAATGACGAAATTACACTACTGCGAATTTCACTGCATCAGTAATATTTATGCATCAGCGATTTTGCCCACTTTGACTCCTATTTTAGGCTAATTACAATATTCCAGTCGTCCAAACTCTTAGCTATTTCGCTAGTAGTACTTCAATTTTATCGATTGAGCATAAGAAACCCCCCAGTCAGCTATTTCAAGAATAAACAATGCAGACATTCCTGGCACTAAAATAAAATTTTCTCTGTTTATTATTTATGTTTCCAGACTTTACAGATGAGTTTTATTTTGATTTTATATTTACACAAAGAATTTTTATTCGCACCAAAAAATAAAAGATTTACTGTTATGCAATATTGCAATAATTGTATAAATATCATCAACGCATTTGGGAACGTATATTAGACGCATCAGTTGACGTGTATTGGACGCGTGACGTCATTTGTTTGCTCCTGAACATAGGCAAAAATCGAACATTTCTGCTACTTTGAGCTATTTTCACTAATAAAGCCAATCAAAATAATCCTTAGTTCTGTAATATATCGTCTATTCTATCAAATGAGAGCACGAAACTGCGAATACACCCGTAAAAACCACACGAAAATACACCGCAAAGTTGATGTTTTAGTCCAAAAACACGGTTCCATTTTTGTCATTATACACTGCGTGTTCCAGGATTTGTTTTATATGGTGCACACTTCCCATATAGATGAATTCTCTCATATACAGGCCAAAATTTACCGTTCACAGCTTATCTGAGTGAGAGCTCATGACGTGGATCTATGGTTTGGACCCTCAAAGGGTCAAAACAAAGAATCTAATAGAAAGTGGGAGTTGTCACAGGTGCTTTTTACTGGTGACACTGTGCTTTTGAGATATTCTGAAGCGAAGTTGCAGAGTTGATGGACGAGTTTGGTAGGGTATGTAAAAGAAGGAATTTAAAAGTAAACATAGGAATGAGTAAGGTGATGAAAATAACAAAAAAATTAGGCAAAGAAAGACTGGATATCAGATTTAAGGGAGGGAGCACAGAGGAAGCGACTGTACTGAGAAATTTAGGAGTGGACTTGCCAGCAAATGGGTCAATGAGAGACGAGGTGAATTATATAAATGGTGAGGGGAGAAAGGTGAGTGGTGCACTAATGAGTTTGTGGAGAGAGAAAATATTGTCCATGGAAGCAAAGGGGGACTGTATCAAGATATAATAACAACCTCTTAATGGAGAAGGCTGAGGCATGAAGATGCTAGTCTGAGGAAAATGTACATTTTGAGTAAATGCAGAGAATCCGTATCTGAAAATTAGGAGGGGGTGCAGGTTTACTAAAATATTATCCAGAGGGCTGGGGAGGGGTTGAAGATGTTTTCGACATACAGAGAGCTGGAACGAAATAAATGATTTGGAGTATAATAAATCTGAGTGAGGGAAAGCGGGGAGGGGCCGGCCTAGGAAAGGCTGGAGGGGGGGTAAAGGAGCTGGGTGCCAGGGCTTGAACTTGAGCAAGCACATAGATGTTAGAAGTGAATGGAGACAAACGGTTTTAGGCTTTGACATACGGTTTGGAGCATAAGCAAGGTAACATTTATAAAGGGGAATTCAGGGAACCTGGGCAACCGGACTTGAGTCCTGGAAAATGGAATACAGTGTCTACACTCTGATGGAGGGGTGTTAATGTTGCAGTTTTATAACTGTAGTGTGAGCATACCTCTGGCAAGATAGTGATGGAGTGAATGATGATGAAAGTTTTTCTTTTCTCGGGCAACCCTGCCTTGGTGGGAGACGGCCGATGTGTTAATAAAAATAATAAATATGTACAAATAAAACCCCCATACAGGAGAATGAAACTTATGACGGGCGTTTTTTGGTCCAACTTGGACCATTAACCAGTCACAAAAATGCGAAGGTGAGAGAGCCAGTATATATATGTGAGAGGGGGAGGGTAGGGCTGGGCCCTGTCTCCCCTCTTGTTTATTTACTGGCTCCCTTTCATTCGTGCTTCAATATGACTAGTTAATGGTGCAGGTCGGACCGAAATGTCGTCATAAGTTTCATTCTCATATATGTGGGTTATTTATGTATTGTTTTCAATCTCGGAATTGTAACTTTTTATCCTTTATGGGCCCTGCAGGTAAGCATCTAATTTTATCCAACTTCTTTGATATTCTCCTTCTTTTAAGTCCCTCTTTCGGGCCCTATGCTGCTGCTTTTTTTGTTTGCAAACGCGTCAGAGTCAATCTACATGACTGTTTTCCTTAACAATTTTTGCCCCCTTCCTACTTCCATTTTTTTTCAAATTCAACACCGTGGGCACTCCCTGTCCTGATCATGCCCACTTCTTACTTCAATTTCACAATCTATGTGACGGTTTTCTTAATCAATTTTTGCCCCCTTCCTACTTCCATTTTTTTAAATTCAACACCGTGGACACTCCCTGTCCTGATCATACCCCCTTCTTACTTCAACAGCTCATACTCTTTACTAAGTCTCAACTTGATGATGCTTTCTTCACCCTCTGTCAATGTGCTCTTTGTTCCTCTCTCGCACAACCTTCTGTAACCATCTCACTACAATTGCTTTCGACACTGTTCCCTTTAATTCACAAACTCATTCTACTAAACTACAAAACAAACTTTATTGTCTTATCTTCGACAACCTTTGATCTAAATTCTCCCTTACTGGCTGTGTTACTAATCTATCTTCTGCCACACTCTCCAAACATCAGTTTCAACTTTTTGGTTTGGTCTTTCCATTACCACTGCACTTACACCCTTCATGATGGCATTGACCACTCTCGAAATTTTCCTGACTTGACCACTTTTCATCGTGCTCTCATTCTTGCCTGTGATAACCTGTTGTCTAAGAATTACCACCTTCCTCGTCGCTGTTAACTCGCCTTTCTTCTCTATAATCTAATACTAATATTATCATCCTTTTTCTAACAAAGGCAATTTGCTAGTTGTCCTTCATCGCTTGGATTACCTCTGACTCACACATCAGAACTTTCAACCACAAAATTTGATGTTTCTCAATGTTTCCGTGTTATATGTCCCTTTCTGCCTTATTTCTCTGGTCTTCTTAACACTCAAAAACCTGATATCCCTCTATGTCCCATTATATCCTCCAAAGGCTTAGTCTCTTGCCTCTTGGCTGGAAAAACTCTCACTTCTTTTCTTGGAACTTTTTCTCCTGCTACTGCCCATATTACAGTTGATGACTCAGAAATAGAGACCAACTACAAAGAGTACATGTAACCAGAACATCAGCCAGCTCAGCCCCCAGCCCTAGTGCTGAGCCAGACTCGGCAAAGGCTCTTCCACAGCCACCGTTACAGATCTAATAGAACAGCCACCATTACACGAAACTGCAGTCACCATTACAGATTTAGCAGGAGTGTCTGTTTCTGGGGACAGTGTTGATCTAATTCTAGAAAAAAATGGTGGTGGTGATTCTGACAGTGTTACTGAAGATAGCTGTAGTGCAGTTCTAGAAACTACAGAAATTGAGAACTCATCCCCTACAAATTCTAGCCAGCTGAAAGCAAAAAGGGGCAAATTCTATACTTGGGGCATCTGTAAGCATGGAACATCTGACGGGAAACAAATGTGACGTTCAACTCTTAACACCCAAAAACTGCCACGAACTCCTCAGTAAAGGAGTGTGTCATTTTACCTCCTGTAAATTCTTCAACCCTGACATGTGCTACAGCACAAACGCCCTTGCATAGTAGTTACAACTATCCTATTATTAGTATTTTTTTTATTGCCAGAAAATGAAAAAAAATGGAAAGAAATGACCAAAATATTTTACCACCTTTGAGCCTTGTTGGACCGGAGGCACATCCAGTGGCCCTTCCCTCCAGGACCATAACTACTGATGCCAACAGCAAAATCCTCCCAACAAACACACAATACGACCACATTTGTATTAGCGAATGTACAGGGCTTTAAACCATTCAACAACAACAAAATATCTTTCATCAGTGTACTTTTAGTGGAATGAAATGTGATGTTTGCAGTCTCCATTTATTTAGATGTGACAGAAAGAACAGACGAAAGAACTGAGCACCACAAATGATGTAATCGAAGTTTTAACAATAAAGATCAGGACCAAAACCGAGTCATTGTGGATGTATATAAGCCACCAGATGCAACTTCCCAACAGTTCAAGAAACAGTTATTGAAAATTGATTACTGTATAGAAAACCTTCCAATCCCATCTAAAAACATCTTATTATTATTATTATTATTAATAATAATAATAATAATAATAATAATAATAATAAAATAATAATAATAATAATAATAATAATAATAATAATAATAATAATAATAATATCTTTATTTACTACAAGTACATGTACAAGGTATACAGGCCTAGCTGAGTATTTCGGGCAAATTAGATCAGTTTTGTCCCAGGATGTGACCCTCACCAGTCAACTAACACCCAGGTACCCATTTTACTGAAGGGTGAACATAAACAACCGGTGAAAGGAAACATGTCCGATGTTTCCACCCCATCGTCGGGTATCGAACCAAGACCCCTCACCATGTGAAGCAAGAGCTTTTGCCACCAGACCAGTGATTTAAATTTAAGACATACAAAATGGAAGAATGTAAAAAATAAAATTATAGGAGAGACAATCCCTGAAGGCAACTCACATGAAGAGTTCACACACATGAGTTGCTGAATCTCTGCAATAAATACACTCTAAGCAAAGAGGTAGTAAAGCCAACAAGATTGGAAAGCAAATTCAACCTTATTTTCACGAATAATGATGACTGGTAAGAAACATAACAATATAAAAATCAATATAAGAATCTAATTGAAATCCAGACTTACATGCACTGGAGTCCTGACCGGCAAAATGCATGCAATTACGAGGGTGCATTCACCAAATTCAAATTCAACAAGAATATCAACTGGGATCAGATAAATCATGTCCTAACTGAAACATGTAGGGAAGATATCTTAAATAACATGGATCCAAACCAGTGCCTTGAAAGGATCAACTTTCTGGGTGCTGTAGTATGTTCAAGGCATATTCCCCTAAGAAAAAAAGAAGAGAAGTAAACTGTCAACAGTGTAAGTGTCTGGAAGTTCAGTTGTCAATTTAATGGCACCAACAACAAATGTTACAAATGCTTGGACTTCCATTCTTCACTATTTATCACTATCACCAACTATCTTCACTACTTTTCATTATCACTAGTTCACTATCTTCACTACTTATTACTATCCAGATCACTGTCTTCACTACTTATCACTATCTGGCTCATTATCTTCACTACTCATGACTATCACCACCTCACTACCTTTGACATTTATCACTATCACCAGTTCACTATCTTCACTACTTACCACTATCATCAGCTCACTATACTAGTTATCATCATCACCAGGTCACTGTCTTCACTATTTATCACTATCATCAGCTCATTATATTCATTACTTAAAACTTTCATCAGCTTGCAATACAGCACTACATTATGAAACACAACACTACACTGCAACACTACACAATGCAGCACTACACTATCTAACACAGCATTACACTTCATAACACATCACTACATAACACAGTACTCCACAATATAGCACTACACATAACAACAGTGCACAATACAGAAATTCACTGCACAACAAAGCAAATTACAAAATAACACTACACAGTACTACACAGCACAGTACTACACAAGACAACACCACAGTACATAGCCCTACACATCTCATCACTACACATCACTGCTTTACACTACTCACTATAGTAGAACAAAACACAGCACTAAACTGCACAACAGAGCACTACACAACAATGAAATACACTACACAATACTACAGTGTAGAGCACTATTTTACACAGTACACACTTCATAACACTTAACAATATAGCACTATATAATACAAGAGAGTATTACACTATATAATGAACACTACACAACACACCACTAAAGAACAAAGTGCTACACTACACAACAGTACAATTCAAAACACATCACAGCACTACACAACACAGCACTACACTAGACAGCAAATTACTGCAATTGATAGTACTACACTACAAATCACAGCCATACACTACACAAAAAGCACTACAATACAGAGCACATACAGTACACAACACTACACTACACAACACCACACAACAATGCATTACAATACACAGTACAGCACTACATTACACAAAACAGCACTACAATACACAACACAGCCCTGCAATACACAGCATGATGAGGAAACGTTTTGCCACACAGTGGCTTCATCAGTCCATACAAAGGAGAATGTTGAAAAACAGGAGTTTGAGGTAATCAGTCCCTCAGCCTGGAGTCAATGTAATCAGTCAATCAATCTTGAAAATGAATATGCATGAAGTTGCTGTAGACAGGTGAGGTGAAGCAGTTGTAAGTGGTATCACAGTGCCTAACCTTGAGGCATGACCTACTTTAACATTCAGATTTGTCAAATGTGATACCACAAATGACTGCTTCACCTCACCTGTCTACAGCATATAAGCCACTTCCTAGTGCATATGCGGAATTCTTTTCAAGAGTGATGGACTGATTGCATTGACTCCAGGCTGAGGGACTGATTACCACAAACTCCTTTATGTGGACTGATGAAGCCACTGTGTGGCAAAACATTTCGTCAGTAGAGATACCCAAGTGTTGCACATGCGTCTAAATTATCAACTTATTGGTTCTCTGAACCATTTATCTAAAATACATAGCATAGCAGTACAATACACAATAAATCAATGCACTTCATAGCACAACACAGCACTACACAACACGATACTACACTACAGAACACAGTACCACACTACAGAACACAGTACTACACTATAGAACACAGTACTGCACTATAGAACACAGTGCTACACTACAGAAAACATTGCTACACTACACAATGCAGTACAACAATACAAAACACAGTACTACACAACACAACACAGTACTACACTACACAACACAGCACTACACTACACAACACAGCACTACACTACACAACACAGCACTACACTGAGCAACATTGCACAACACAACACTACACAGCACAGCACTACACTACACAACACTACACGCCCCAACACTACACAACACTACACGACACAACACTGCAGTATGCTACACAACACAATACACAAAACTTACACTACACAACACAAACACTACATATGCAACACTACATTACACTACACAACATTACACTATACAACACTTCACTACACAACACACACTACACAACACTGCACTACACTACATTACACAGCACAACACTATACAACACTACACTACACAGCACTACACTTCACAACACTACACAACACAACACTACACTGCACAACACTATACACACACACAATGGGCCCCACTATACAACACTACATAACACTGTACTACACAACACAGCACTACACTACACAACACTACACTACACAACACTACAAAACATTGCACTACACAACACAGCACTACACTACACAACACTACACTACACAACACTACAAAACATTGCACTACACAACAAAGCCTACATACCAACAATAAACTAGACAACATTACACAACACAACAAATACACTACACTACACATCATATCACTACAGTACACAACAATGCACTGTACTACACAACACTACACTACACAACACTACAAAACTTACACTACACAGTACTATACTTTCACTACACAACATTACACTACACAGTACTACATACACAGCACTATACAGCATTACACAACACACATAGACAACACTACACAACACTACACAACACTACACTACACAAAACTAACACTAAACTCACTACAGTACACAGCACTACACAACATGAACAATGCACAACACTACACCATACTACACCACACTATACAACACAAAAAATACATACACAGCACTACATTG